GAGAGAGAGAGAGAGAGAGAGAGAGAGAGAGAGAGAGAAACAGAGAGAGACAGAGAGGGAGAGAGAAAGCGAGCGCCGTCCAGGAACACCCTTTGCCAGACATGGGCGGAACAGAGAGAACTGGGTTACAGGGAGACTGGCCAACATCCAAGCCTTTTTGCATCTGCAAACTCAATTCCCACATTTTCAGCCTCATTGTGAAGGATCTACAAAAAGAGAGAGAGAGAGAGAGAGAGAGAGGAAAATGTAAAATTGGATGCATTTTGTTCTTGATGGGCTGAAGAGCTTCTTCCCCTGGAGAGCGGGTTTTGCTGATGGAACAAGGTCCAAGGGCAATGCCTGATAAAGCATTTTTTTGCAAATGCAGGTTTTAGAAATAGGGTTTCTCTGACTCTTAGACAATTTGTAACGTAAATTTAGTGTTTATGAGATTTAGCTAATTTGAGCCAGCATTTTCTAGCAAATCTGGGCATCTGTGTGCTCCCAGTGACAGCTGTGCGCCCACATGTGGTCAGGCAGGTGCTGGGCCCTGACTGTCCCTGGGGCCCTGTGCCTGAGCCCCAGGCATCTGCATCCTGTGCAGCTCGCCAGCAGGTCCTGGCAGGCTGCACTGGCCGACCTATGTCCTCTCCGTCGGGGCTCCTGTTCATATGGGTTCTCAGATCTGCTCTGCCTGCTAGAGTCCTTTCTCCACCATGGAATCCCTCCAGCACCTGTAAACAACAACCCCCTTCCAGCCGAGGGACAAAACCACTTTCTTCACAAGGCATTTGCACCCAACTGCCTCTCTGTGATGGCCATTCAATTCACTTACTTACATAAACACAGATTTGAGATTTACTCCGGGCTACCCCAGAGAGTAACTGAGCTCCAACTGTGTGTACTTTTTATATCATTTATTTAATTATCACAATGATCCAGTGGGTTTGGAGGCGTTGGAGTTCCCCATGTCAAAGTTGACTCAAACTCAAAATCCAATTCCTCGGTCTCACTGGCTCCCCGCGGACAGCGCAGACCCAGAACATTTCTGCCATCAGAGAGAATTCTACTGGACAGCCCTGCTTTAGATAGTGTTTTGTGGCTGAAATTTAAAAAAAAAAAAGGTGGGGGAGGAATGTTTGGATAAACAATTCACTCTGTTTCACCCTCATGGAGATTCACGGCACACATTAGCACAGATACACTGATTTGTCCTGTGGCCAAAACAACTATTTACCTCTTCTCTTCCGAATAGGATTGACCATGAGTCCCAAAGGGATACTGATCGAGAAGACCACAGGATGCTAGTGTTTGATGGGGTTGAGGACCACGGCATGCCACCAGGTGGCCCTCCTCCTGTGGCGTCCTCCAACCCCTGTAAGGTGGAACCGAACCAAGGATTCTCCCCCTGGAAATTTCTGCCACATCCTTTCAGGCAGGACTCAGCAAGAGTGCCCCATGCATACAGCAGGAATGTTAAGAGACAGAGGACAGGCCATCAGTCTCTCCCAGCAAAGATTCTCCTGCTGCCTTCCTCAGTGCAGGGTCCAGTGTCTGAGCAACCTGATGGGAAGTTCTTTCTTGTGTCTAGCCACAGTCCCTCTTGCTCGTAGGGCTCTCTCCGCTTCAGCTCTTCCTGGCAAGTAAGTTGCTCACCTGTTTGCTGAGCATCTACTGTGTGCTGAGCTCTTCGCTTGACTCGGTTGCCTCGTAGGGCAGAGTTCCCTAAGGGAAAGAACTCCTTTGAATGACCTTCCTTGACATGCATGACGTTCATACAATCCTGTGCACATGGCATTTTGCCATTTCATGTATGTTTTGCCATTTTATGTCCCTCCTCCCTAGTCATTCTAGAACCAAGAAAACAGAGTCTTGGAGCTGTTAAGAGACTCGCTTGAGGTCACACAGCTGGTTTTTATGTGGCAAACCATGACTCTAACTCAGGTCTTTTGAGTCAGGAGTTCCTCACTGCCCCTTCTGTCCTCCTCATCTACACAGACAACTTCACAGCAGTGGCTTAGGGCAGGCTCGGCCTGGCAGGTCCGAGAGAGGGCAGAGATCTCTCTGGAGCAGCATGTCCCCCTTGCTCCCTCGAGCAGGGTGCAGGATGGCTGAGCATAGACACAGTTCTGAAGAGGATGAGCCTGCCTGAGAGCCAGAAGGGCCAGGCCACAGCCCAGGCGGGACTCATCAACCACACAGTGCTGCCCAGGCGGGACTCATCAACCACACAGTGCTACCTCTTCTTGAAGAACTCATCCACTGAGGTTGCCCAGTGACTCTGGGCCTCACCTCTTGGGGCCCAGGGAAGGAAGGTAGGGCAGAGCGGGAGAAGTTCAAGGGCAAAGAGGATTAAAATCTAATCAAAGGATGAAGAAATCAGGGGCTGAAGGGAAATGCAGCTCAGAGCTGGGGAGGAGACGTGCTTCTGTCTTCCTTATTAATGCAGGGCCAAGAGATGCCGCATGTTGAATTAGAAACAGGCACCTAATTCTATTTTTCTGCCATCAAAATTAGGTATAACGGAGACCATTCCACAGGGAATCCTACCACCTTTTCTCTTTCTTTCCAAAAGTAGATTTTTAATAAGCAGGTTTTAGACCAAGTAGAGTTGTATTGTGTTTTACATTATTTTTCTTTCATGGGAGAAAAAATCAGGACATCTGCACATGCCTAGTTCTGATGAGGCTGGGGGGTAAGGGGAGATGTGGTGAGGGGTCCAGGCATGCTGTCCTGGGAGCCCCTGAATGGGGAGAGTCGGGGTTCCCCACCGTGGCCCCTGAGGCCCCTTTGGTGAGATCACCCAGCCTTGCCACAAGGCTACCTTTTGAGACTCTCAGGATGGACCCAGGGCCTTCAATTTCCTGTAGTCACAAGGACAACATGCTGGATATTTTCCTGGTATATTTGAGCAGACTCAAATACTATTTTGTTTTAATGTTTGCATTGATGTTTCTAAGTATTTTAATGTCTTTTTGTGGCTACATGTCCTTCTGCCATCTGTTTACCACCTGTGTGACCTTGGGAAAGTAACATAGATACTCTCCAGCTTCCTGTTGTCTTGTCTATAAAGTGGGAACGATGATGCCTCCCTTGCTGGATGGCCAAGGGGATTAAATAGGACAAGATACCCAAAGAGCATGACGCAGGGTCTGCACCTGGGCAACAAGAGGCACACGTGAGTTTTTCTTTCCTTCCTTCCTTGGATCCCTTTCAAACAATACCAGGTCAGGACCTGGAGCAGAATGACCAGAGCTTAGCACTATCTGTCCTTCCATCGTCCCTGTGTTGGCTAAACTCTGCCCAGGTGGTTGGGGAGGAGCAGACTCTGATCTCGGGGAGGAAGTATAGTTGGAGAGAAGTCCAGAATGGTGCAGTAAAAAAAGAACCATCTTGGGAGCCAAAACAAGCTTCTCTACCACGCATGAACTGTGTGATGTCAAACAGATCACTGTACCTCTCTGAGTCTCAGTTCCCTCCTGCTAAAGTGGGAATAATACTGCTTTTCAGGGCATCTGGGTGGAAGGTATCCGGCCCCAGAATATAATAAACATTTACTTATTTTACCCTGTGATCCTGGCTATGGCAGCGGGGGCTGGGGGATGGGAGAGTAGGGCTGATACTCAGAGCCCCTTGTGAAAATAGCGGGACTCTAGAGGACCTTCCCCATACCCGCCCCAGGAGGCACACACTGTGGGAGGCCTTATGCTGGGAGCAATACAAAAATTAATCATTTAATGAGCACTCACTCTGCTAAGGCTTTTGAAATTATCCCATTTGAGCCTCATGATAACCATCTAAGATGGACTTTATAAACATTCCTATTATCTGCATGAGGAAAAGGGAGATCAAGTCTATTTTCAACATGCATGGTTCTTATTTCCTCTTCTCCCTGATGTTTCCATGCTGTGGAAAAGACAGAAGAGAGGCACCATTTTTTCCCATTCTGTGGCTGGGTTGATGCCTTGCCATGCCAGCTCAAGTGGGGAATCAGAGGCCAGGAGTCAGAATCAGAAGACCTGGTTTGGCTCTTGGCCTGTCTCGGGTTTTCTAGCTCTATGATCTGTCACTGCACCCCTCTCACCAGGCACACCTGCCCTCCCCGAGCCCTGGGGGTGGGGGCCGGTGTGGGGTGTTAAATCAACTGTATATGAAGGAACTGAAGAAACGTGAAAGACTGCTCAGGGCAGGGGCACCTGCTGAACCCCACCAGGGGAGGCCCATGCTGGAGACACGCTCCAAAGTTCAGAGGCAGTGGGAGCGCAGAAGCCACGCTCTTCCCACGCCCGCCCTTGTGTCAGAGAAGACGACAGCCTGCAGGGCCGAGCCAGGCAGAGCACAGTCTGCCCGTGAGCAGAAAACCTCACCTTCTCCCCCGTTGCCTCTCTGTCTCCTCCTCTGTCTCCTGTGGTCTGGCCTCCCAGGTCTGCCCATTCCCAGGGCCAAGCCCAGCCATGGGATGAGACAAACCCAAGAAGCAGGTACAGTGGGTCATTCAAGCACTTGAACGTGCTCTGTGCCCCTTCCCCATGGTGACTCCTTGGACTCTCATTCCCATCTCCCCGTCAGAATCTGCTCGTGGAAAAGGTCTGAAAACCACATACCCTGAGGCATGAGGCCCGGCAGCAGGAAGGGGCGTGAAGCATTACCGGGGGTAGAGCAGTGTGGGCACAATGGTG